TACGAAAATAACACGCTGTTTAGCGCACTCCGCTACGTCAATCTGTAGCATTTTTGCATCTCCGTAATCATAATAAGCCCCGTCTTCTTCGTTGATGGGCATGAATGGGGCGTCAACGACGTGACCCGTTACTGTACCTACTGTCTTTCGCCAGCCTGTTTACTTAATGAAAATAATGAAATACTTTTGAAATAATGAATATTTTCGGCACCACTAAATTGGTAAAATTTCCCATGAACCTTAAGAAATTCTGAGAAATTCTGAAGTTATCATCGCAGAACTCCCCAACACCGCCAATCCTCATGTCACAAAGCTATATATGTAAACAAACACACGTGTTGTGAGGTGCCTGCTCCGATATCTATTTCGAGGCCCGCTAAGCCAAGCATAAAGCGCGCGGGCAAGACGTCACACACACAGCTACCTACGTTCATTGGTTAAAACAATCGAGTAGCGCGGTTAGGGATTTTTGGAATTATTTAATTTTAAGAAAAACTTCAATGTTTAATGAATGACGCACTTGTTCACTTCCGAAAGCGGGTAAAAATGCCGAATTTTTCCACTTCGATGCGAAATGCATCGGCCGGGCATTTCATTATTTACGAAAAGTAAACAGGCTGGTGAAAGACAGTAGGTACAGTAACGGGTCACGTCGTTGACGCCCCATTCATGCCCATCAACGAAGAAGACGGGGCTTATTCTGATTACGGAGATGCAAAAATGCTACAGATTGACGTAGCGCAGTGCGCTAAACAGCGTGTTATTTTCGTATTTGTGGTATTTGTGTTCTAGCATAGCAGAATGCCCTAGTTCCTGAGATCGGCGATTTGGTGGTCCAATGTGTCCCCATCTTTAAAAATATAAAAGACTGGTGCGGCGTAGGCTGTGATTGGAAGACACAAAGTGTCAATCCTCGCCGCGCCTCGTCATCATGGCCGCATCACGTCTAGTAAATAAATTAATATGTAGTCTAATAGTAATACTAAGAAGTACAATTCGGTTCTAACCTTACTGCCGCTGCCACGTACATTATTAGGCAAAATTACTTAAGCGGGGGACACACCATGCGAATTTATTCGCACGTCCGCAGCGATTGTAAAATCGCAGCGAAATTCGCATGGTGTGTCCGCTCAAGCGCAGGCGAATTTCATCCACACCGAAATTCGCAGCGATCAAACATGTTTGATATTTTTGCTGCAGACGTGCGGACGTGCGAATATAGACTGGTACCCGTCCCTTCTCACAAGCTCGATATAGGCCTATATCGGGCTTGTGCAAAGGGACAGGTGCCAGTCTAGTGCGAATAATGGCCGATTGTTATAATGCACAGCGAATCATTGATCAGTATGCTAATCACGTGACCACATGACTGTTCACTCTGTTGGAGCCATGGTGGAGCCGTGTGGTGCCAGTAGATCGCGTGTAGTGTGTACGCTGCGGACGTGCGAATAAATTCGCATGGTGTGCTCGCTCAATTATCGCATGCGGGTGCGAATATTTTCGCCGCGATTTTCGCTGCGGATATGATCGCCGCGGACGTGCGAATAAATTCGCATGGTGTGTCCCAGGCTTTAGTGCACTTGAAATTGAATTGTGAGGAAGCCAAAGCTTAAGCCCAGCGCACACGTGAGTAATTTTACTCAAGTAAAATGATGCATGCGTCAAAATACTCAACGAAAATCCACCGCACACGTGAGTACACGTGGTCAATGCTGGCCAAGTGCTATATGCCTAACTTTGACCTACATCAATAGTGTTCAATTTTGTGTCAATAGAGTAACGGTCAAGACAACAAAAAATACATATATCAAGTTTTATTTACATTTCGTCACAAGTTGTTTACATGTTTGCTGCCAACAAATAATGATGGTACAGCTAAAGTTTAAACATTTCATTAATATCTAAAACACAAGATCACAGTATGTACATGCAGTAAATGATGACAACTGATTAGTTGTCAATAGATCTATACAGATGCAACAGCTATTAAAGCTGAAACAATTCGGTAATAAGGAAAACCTGAGGAGTACTTACTGAGTCGCTCAAACAGAGCTGCCCCAAGTTCTGGCTAACGCTCCTTTAGGAGTGTTCCCAACTTTGATATCATTCATGATTAATGATTAATGATTGATAATCCTAACCCTAACCTTAACCTAAATGACATTAAACCACAAACAATTATGACCATGACCATTGACCATATATATATATATATAAACAAAGTCAAGCTATCAGAATAAAGGGTGTTTCTAAAGTATAATTGACGAGCATTCGAGATTACAGATCCATCTCATCCAAGTTCAGCACAAGACATTGAAATAAGCAATCAAAAGTAATACAAAAACAAAATACAATACGTTAAAACGATAATCCAAAGAAATCAATCGTAAGTAATTAACTCATGCAATCGTTTTGATTATCTATAAATGGTCCGATGATATTTCTGTTTTTTCGATATAGCTTGGAGTCCTATGTCCAATATCTGCTGACCTGAAGACGAGATGTAATCTCGGCAAAGCCGCGGTTCAATTAAACTTTAAACATCCCTTATTCTAGTACTTGAACCTTTGTTATGAATCTACACTAGCGTGTGCTGTGTGCAACTGATTACGTCATTCAAATCATATTAATATATATAAAATAATATAATATATATAATAATATACACTAATTATATATATATACTACGATGTGTATTGTGAACATTTAATGACATTAAAGTTGGAACCACTCCTAATGGAGTAGTCAGAGCCATGCGACAATTGCTATTGCCCCATTGGTGCACATGACTGAGGCTTATTACCTGATAGCTCTGAAATTGTAATCTGATAATATTCGTAGTAAACAATACTAGTTATATCACAAATTAACTGTGTCCACGGTTTTGACAAGTGCAAAAAGATCAATCAAAGAAAAAACTGATCTGTATTGCTAAATGATAGAGACATTTATATAGACTTGATATCAAAATCAAATGGAATAGATTCCTCTATTGATAATACGAAGGTTTGAATTTGGAAACAGCGACGAAAATAATATACCTCTTGAAAAAAAACTATCAGAGCAAATTTACATAGCT